GGGTTCTTAATATGAGTCCTAATATATTGGGGTTATAGGGCCAGGGTTTCTTAATCAGGTTCCTACATTAGGCTTCAGGGTTTAGGCTTTCGGGTTTTGGGGCTTTAGACTTGAGGTCGCGGTTTGAGGGTCGGGCTCGGCAAGGTGAAGTCCTAAACAGCCCTAAACCCTCAAACCTAAAACCCATGTATGCCCATAGCAAGGCCGAGAAGCTACCAAAGCCATGAAGTTCGCGAAGCGGGTGCTTTGCAGAAACTTCACCAGAGATGCGCGGACCTCGCAGGGAGTGCAAGCCCGAATCTCGAAAATGCAAACCTTCAACCCTCCAGTCTACTATAGGGGCCTCAATGATTAGAATAGGGTTTTGGCGGGGTTCCTTTAAAGGGTTCTATAAGGGCTACTATAAGGGTTTAGGGTTTAGGGGCCTTAATAGTTAGAATAGGTTTTTGGACTATACTCTACTATAATTATTAGAAGGAGTCCCCCAAAATGGTATACAAACCCTATATTACACCCTGAACCCTATGATTTTCGGCTATATTGTGAATGGCGTATACTTAAATTGGGGCGATGTGGAGATAGTACTAGTAATCGTTCGAACCCTACAAACCTCCAGCTCCCAAATGTGGCGGCAGCACTGCGACACGCGCAGCATGCAACATGTCGGCGCCGTGCTGTGGTAAAGGCAAATCTCAAAAGCCTACGCCCACAGGCGCGAATTGGTAGGTCACCACCCTCTTAATCTACAAGGGTATTCAAGCTCTTGAAACGTCAACTCTAAAAGCCCAAACTCTTAAACCCAAAACCCCCTACAACCCTGGAAGCAGCCGGGCCTTGCCAGCATAGCTGGAATGGTTGGACATTTCATCAACCTGAGAAGAGCAACAGGTTTCGGCTGTAGGCTCATCTAATAGGCTCGTCCCCAGAGAGAGCCCAATATCCCTTAATTAAGGAAGGTTTAGGGTTTAGGGTTTAGGGTTTAGGGTTTAGGGTTTAGGGTTTATACATTAAATCATAATATCCACTCCAACTTAAGGTATATTCCCTATATAAGGGGTATTGGGCTCTCTGGGTCTAACCAGGTTTTATAGGCGGTTTACGGGATTACGTAAGGTTTTTTGAAAGCTTTAGCTGTAGAGGTGGATAAACCTGATTCGGCATGGGGACCGTGTGTGGCAGTATTCTGAGTAGCAACACTGCATCACAACCACCGGCAAATACAAGCAGTGTGATAACATGGTGGCAAGATATACTCTATCTGCAATGAAATTCCGTTCTTCATTCAACTAGAGTAACTAATAATATAGTGCGTGTGATTCAAGTACGATACAAAAAGGGGACAGGATTACATGCAAGCTGCTTTGAATATGAAAAGCTTACCTCCTTAAACCCTAAACATTAAACTACCGCAAGCCAGCGACCTAGGCGTCCAGAACACACGGCTGTCAGCTTAAGTGTAAGTAGGGGGTTTAGGATTTAGGGGTTTAGGGCTTAGGGTATACGGTATAAGGGTTTAGGGTCTAGGCCTTAGGAGTTTAGTTAGGGTTTAGGATATTGGGACGTTGTGGGGTTTAGGGGTTTAGGGTTGGGTCTAGGGTTTAGGGGTTAAGTTAGGGTTTATGACTTTAGGGTTTAGGGGCTTAGGGTTTAGGGGTTCAGGGTTTAGGGAAGTAGGGCATTCAGTAAGAATCCCGTCAAGGCATGGATCGACTTGTCTATTGCGAATGAAGCCTCGATAGATAACATAAGATTGAAAACCCCAGCCTCTAGCCTCAACGCTCAGTACGCCTGACTGCCCAGATCAGTTTTGATAACAGCCCACCTGCTTGGCCTTAATGAAGTTGCTGCCGATGCCGCCTGTCACGTTGAACAATCTAAGATCTTCGGGGTTTATGAAGTGGGGTTGAGGGCCCACTACAGAAAGAAACATTCGGCTTTGGGACAAAGCTTTCCCAAACCCCCCTACAAACCCTACAAACCCTACAAACCCTAAACCCTATAAGCCCTATACACCCCAAACCTTAAACGAGGATGTGCGGAACATCTCCATGTAGTTACTGGACAGGCTCTGGGTGTTAAAAATACATAAGGTTTAGGGTTTAGGGTTCAGAAACCTCAAACCATAAACTCGATTCATAACGCTCTATCATGTATTTTGCTGTAACCTAGTAACCTTAGTGTTGAGATATTTGACGTCTAGGTGTTGGGACATACGGCTAGTAAGGTTTCGGGCTTCGTGGGGGTGACTCGGGTTGTGGGTCGTTGTAGCGGGGATTGTTTAAAGAAATAGCTCTCTCTCCGATGCTGTCCCGGCAGGAAGGTAACTGCAAGAAGTGGGCCCTATAAATAACTTGGCGTGTAGTTGTAAGAAACAGATTTCTCTGAGCTGAAGTCTTCATCCCCACCCTAAATGAACCACGAGCCGAAACTCGAAGGCCTTGGTTTGTCAAATGGATTTTTGGTGTATGGCCTTCAGGGTTTGGGGTTTGGGGCTTGGGGTTTAGGGTTTAGCCTTTTAGAGTTTTGGGTTTAGGGCTTAGGGCTTAGGGCTTGGGGTTTAGGGTTTAGGGTTTGGGATTTAGCCTTCAGGTTCTCTTTCTTAAGTGTATTGTCGCCTCTTTTCCAACAAGGAAAAGGGTTTAGGGCTTACGGCTTGACCCTAAACCAAAAGCCACAGGAGCTCTGTGGGAGATGGCCTTGGACACGCTTGGACCGGAAGCTGGGGCTCTCCATGGAAGAATGGTAGCCTTGGTTAAAGGAAACTACAGGTGAGGAGTTTAGGGTAAAGGGGTTTAAGGGTTTGGGTTTAGGGGTTTAGGNNTTAGGGAACTACAGGTGGGGAGTTTGGGGAACATAGGGCCTCTACAAGGCTTCCATAAGGTATATAGACCTTCTGTAAGGCTACAAGAACGGTAACTGCCGACCTGACAATGTCCTAGCCTTGGGACTGTCCAATTCAAAAAAGGGTTTGGGGTTGAAGAGTCTAGAGAAACCACCCTCAACCCTAAACTTCAGCCGCCTAAGCCTAAACCCTAACCCCTAGACCCTAAACCCGTATAGCCTATACCCTCAACCCTAACCCGAAACCCCAAAACCCAGAACCCTGGTTTCTGTCTCTGCAAGCTCCCCCCCTCCCCCCGCACGATTGCGGCCAAGTGGGCCGGGGCTTTGTCTGCCGGAGTTTTCCTCAGAGGCACATGAGGGGAGGTTTTTCAAGTTTCAATGTAAGTTCAAATCATCAGAGAGTGGGGCATAGGGCAAAACCCTAAACCCTAAACCCTAAACCCTAAACCGTTTCTTTATAACATTATACAACTATCAACCCCTCTAAGCCCTAAACCCTGCAACCCTCCAAGGAAGTCATAAGCCCAAGAGATCCCAGACTCCCTAAATGGGGGGTTTCCGAAAATAGAGGACCCTAATATAGTACCCTAAATAATAGGATCCTTATTATAAGGACCCCAAAATAAGGTACCCCAATTTTCGGAAAACCCCCAAATGCAACAACAGTGAGTTGGCAGATCCACAAGCCTTTCGTACTTGGAGGCTTAAGGGGCTTAAGGCTTGAGGGGTTCAGGTCTGGGGCGGAGTTCGGGGGGAATTTGGGTTTCGGGCTAAGGCTTCGGAGTATAGGGTTTAGGGTTTCGGGTTTAGGAGTTTGGGCTTCGGGTTAGGGTTTCGGGGTATCGGGTTTAGGGTTGTTGGGCGTTTTGGGTTTGACCTGCAAGTATCTACCTGCAGCCGAAAAGACCCACCTTTCTAGCGTTTCCTATTATATTGTTTCTTCAACTAGTTCCTTAAAAGAGTAGGTCTTCTGGGCCACAGGCAGGGTTTAGGAGTTCGAGTTTGGGGCGAGGAGTGTGCAAAGATGAAACACATGATCAAGATGTTGCAAAGGACAAATGACGCCCACACATCCGGAAAATCCATGAACCCGTCAGTAGTCTGCAAGTAAAGCCCTAAGAAACCCGAAACAACTTGATATGCAACCTTGTTAAGACCTTATAGAAGCATCAGAAAAACCTACAATAAGAACCATCGAACTTGCAGACTATTATCTTCTAACCGGACCCGATAGAGGTACCTTGAACAAGATCTTTACAACAACCCTTATAGAGGACCTGCGTCCCCTGTACTGAAAAAACGGATAAGACACCGGCCACATAGGGTTTAGGGTTTCGGGAACCCAAAAAATAATCCGTGTCAATAGCTACCGGGGAATGTTTTCGTGCGAAAACAAACCACATGCCCTTTTGAACCTTTTGACCCTGGCATAGATCCAAGCACCTGAACTGCCAACCAGGCGACCGAGGCCAACGCACCCTCGAAGCTCGCCAGTGCACTGCTGTACTCACCTGGTTGAGGAATGCTTGTGGGAGGTTCTTTGCGGGGCTTTGTAAGAGTTGCTACGACGATCTTCTCGGAGATTGACTGCAGTTTGCGATACGTGCAGATACATATACTCACCATACGTACGTACATGCATACATACATACATTCATACATCGATGCCGACCGGCCGACCGACCGACCGACAGACAGACAGACGCACAGCCCAGACCTGCAGGGACATGCAGAAGCCAGACTAGCCAAAATGTGCTACAGTCGGGATTGGGATTGGTTTAAGATTAATGGCACAGCAGATAAAGTCCTACAGTACCCCATCATGCTTGCAAGCAGAAGCACCGGCCCGATGAAGAACACAAAACCTCCAGCCCATCCCGGCCTGAGGCCATCGGCGATCGTTGGTGGGCTCCTTAGTTACTGAGTTCATCAAGCGCAGAAAAGAGTACACTTTCAGTTTTATAGTAGGTAATATTATCCCAAAAAGTGTAAAATGTATCCACTCAGCTACTGAGGCTCCTGGGGACAAAGTCCCCCCATCCAGCGAGGAGCGCTTCGAGGACTCAGCGGGGGGGAGGCTGGGCAAGGAGGCTTTGGAGTCGATTGGACCGACATCGTCCGCCATGGCGCCACACGGAAACAGCCAGAGCTGGGCTAGGAAAGTCTTATTCAACTCCCGGGATGCTTAGCGTTTTTTTTTGTGGGGGGAGGGGGGAGGGGGGGGGGTTTAGGGCTTATAGGGTTTCGGGGAAATGAAAGCCTGATGCAACCCACGCTTCTTCGATCCTCGAGGCGCAGGGGCCCTGTAAAGAAGGAACTCTACATGTTCCGACAGGATCAAGCTAGTCTCTCAGGGCAACTTGGTCGTGGCTTCCTGCCAAAGGAGTCCGGCTAGCTTCGGGGATCCTATGCATGCCAGTTAGGACCGCGCCGTCTTCTGCCACCTTGAATATAGTGTCCTTGCTTCTTTATGTTTGAGCCGAAAGCCTACCACAACCAATGGTGGTACGCACCGCAAAAGTCTATGTCGGTCACCGCTCTGGATAACTTCCACCATGGACAAACAAGCACATGTGAAGGCTGAAAGATTCGAAGTATATGAGAGAATTCCAAGTCGATACTAGGGTCGGCGGGTGCGTCCCCCCTCTCTTCCGTGCTACTTTGGCTTTTGGCTAGGTTTAGGGCTTGGGAGTTCTCTTGCATCGCTACATCCCTGCAATATAGGGAGGCGAACCCAACCCTGCTAGTAGAGCTTGTACAGTAGTGTAGGGTTTAGGGTGCTGGGCTTCAGGGGCTTCTGCAGGCTTTAAAGCGTCGTGGGCTTGCGGGCTTAGGGTCAAAACGGGTTCAAGCTGTAGGGCATACGGGTTTAGGAGTTGTGGGCTGAACGGGTCTAGGAAGGCACCTACATGATCTCAAGTATAATTAAGGTCACAAGGTCCTCCTGTAAAGCCTAATTAGACCTAGATCCTAAAGATTGATCGCAAACGGGAATCGGGGATTGCAAGGGGCTTTCAACTGTCAACAGAAGGTCCAAGATCACCGACGATCATGGTCTTGCCGTGCTATAGGCTTCATGCTTCGCACATCGTAGTTCCAGAACATATATGGGATCCATGTACAGTCGCTAAATAGGATCCTGATAATAGCAGTCTATTTCACCGCTCTACTTCGAGACGGGACCAGAGTGGTTGGCAAGTGTGTTGAACTTGGCCGTGTTCAAGTCAGAACCGGTACTTGCACGCAGACGCCAGCTACTTGTGAATTGAAACCCTTTACGTAAAACCTCTGCAAGTCTGAGTCCTATAAAGCCGAACATAATGGATGTGAAGCCGAGGCAGCGCGCGTGAGCCCTTAAGCCAGCCTTCACAGCCCTAAGTCGTCAAGCCTCGACCCTAAACCCTAAACCCTCACACCTAAACAACCCTGAACCCTAAACCCTGAGGGTTTAGGGTTTAGGTTTTTTTGCCTAGACCTTGCAGTGGTATCCACGCCTCGGTTACCCGTACGATGCCCGGGACCGCCGACTTGCCGTCGCCTCGACGCGGCTTGTATAGGAGCCCTCGTAGCAGTTACTGTCCCTTACACTCTGTATAAACCTTAGAGAGTACCCTTAAAAACACAGTACTTGGAGGATCATGGGACTTAATAAATAAGGTTACAAGTACCCAAATTGGTGTTATAATTATAGTTACCTTGTTTATAACCCCAATTACTAAGTCCCATGATCCTGCAAGTAGTTTACTGTTTTAGGTAACTGGGCTCTTTGGGGGAGTTCTTTGTTTCGAGATTGAAGGGTGTACCTTCTTCAGGCTTCTACTGTCCAGGGTTTCCGGCTTTGGGCATCAGAAAGGCTTACGAAGAACATAGGGGCCCTAATAATTAGAATAAGGTTTTGGGGCCCTTTATACTATACTTCTAACAAGGAACCCCACAAAACAGTATAGGTAATTATTTAGGCCCCTATATTAGGTCCCGATATGCCCTGAGAGTGAGAAGCCCCTGAAGGCCCTGGCCCTAAACCAGAGAGCGCGATACGCCTTAATGAAGGAATACCTTACAGTAATCCCCAAAAAGTTGGAAACCGGATCAAGGACAATTAGTGCTGGGATTCCCTATACATTGCTCTTAAGGATCGAGGCCATTGGGTTTCCAACTTTTGGGCTTGCGCTATAACCTACCAGAACCTACTTTTTTGTAGGGTCCCTAGAAATCCCATAGTAGGGTTTATAATAAGAACCTACAAAAAAGTGGGTTATGGTAGGTTAAGGTATACCTGAAATCACAGGGGGCTTAATATTATGATTTAAGGTATCTTCCTTAGTTAAGTAAGGGTTTAGGGTTTAGGGTTTAGGGCTTAGGGGGCTTAATATTATGATTTAAGGTATCTTCCTGAATTAAGGGGGTATTGGGCTCTCCGGGAAGCCAGAGATCTCTTATTTTTGACAAGGAGATACACCGAGCGCAGATACCGATGGCGGGACGACAGCCGGGTGCCCAAACGGTTTAGGGTTTAGGGTTTAGGGTATGGTAGCTACTTGGCAGGTATTTGGGCCCCAAAAGTATACTATACCGTAACTTGGACCCTTTGGGGTGCTTGCTAGCTACATGAAGAACCTCGAGAAACACCTACTGAATCTTAATTTAGTAGCATTTGTATCATTGTGTTGACCAGACATCCACGATGTGTGTAGGGCGCTGACCGGGTGATTGCAACCCGTCTGGCATTTAAGTGAATAGAAGGAGATTGCCAGCTGTAAGCTAGGATAGAGAATACCAAGCCTATAGCTGCAGTTCGTAATCATGTCAGAGCTGTGGTATATTCACACTCAATGAAGACGGGCGCGGAGGTCTCCGGATAAGACTCACCGCAAACAACTAGGGTTTAGGGTTTAGGGTTTAGGGTTTAGGGTTTAGGGTTTAGGGTTTTCGTAAAAATCTGCAGGCCAAGTACATCTCAGGCCGTGGCGGCGACAGATGCTGCACGATCTGCATCAGAAACACAGGACTCCTCCGAGCATTCCAAGAAAGGGAACCCTTATAGTCTATTAGGGGTTTAGGGTTTTAGGGTTTAGGGGTTTTAGGTTTTAGGGTTTAGGGTTTAGGGTTTAGGGTTTTAGGGTTTAGGGTTTTAGGGCTTTAGGGTTTTAGGGTTTAGGGTTTAGAAGTTTCTATACTGAACTTAGACCCCTAGCAAAACTTATAATTTTAGCTGCTTCTTAGGGTATATAGCAGCCAAAGATTAAAGATTATTTCTAAGTACCCCTAAGTAGATCCCCTTAAAGGGAACCCTTAATCAAGCTTCCCGAAGGTCCAGGTGGTCAGGCAGGAGGGACTCAGGCATTTAGGGTTTAGGGTTGAGGGCTTAGGGTTAAGATACATCATAAAAGTATTGAGGGCTATTCAGGTATTTGGGCCCTCTGAGTTCACGGCTGCTTGCCAGGCAGATTTTGTTCAAGTTTCGTCAAAGGCTCGTAAAACCTCAACGCAGTTTACGGACAACCCCCTTGGCTAACGAACGTCACAGGGACACGACAGCCCCTCAGCAGAGCAAGAAAAGCCTAAATCCCAAAACCCCAACCCTAAATATACCTTGTAGTCTTGCATGGTAGAGGTATCCTACGTTAACCCTTATTGTGATTTGCGGTATATTGTAAACCCTAGGTATATTCCTTCATTAAGGATCATGAAGGGGCTTTGGCACCTGGAGAGGGCATATTGGGGATCTGGTTCCAAGCTCTACGCAGGCCCTTTAAAGGATGCAAAAGGCTAGATAATGTAGGGGCCTTAATGATTGGAGTAGGGTTTAGGGTTTAGGGTTTAAAAGGGTTTAGGGTTTAGTTTTTTTTTTTTTGGGGGGGGGGTCCTTATCACAACTATAGTATATAATATACCCCCCAAACCCTCTTCCAATGGTTAAGGCCCCTATATGGCCTCAAACGAGGCCCCGACTTAACCCTTATGACGGTGGGCTTTTTAGTGCAATGGCTCTTTGGGGTTTAGGGTTTAGGGTTCCCAGCTTGATAAAGGAATATACCTTAAATCATATTAAGGATCCTACTATAGTTTAAGGTATATTCCTTGACTAAGAGATATTGGAGTCTCTAGGTTCAGGGCTTCCCATACAATGGTACTGTTGATGGACAAAATTCTGCATGACCCCAATATAGTAAAGTACCATAAATCCCATAGTTTAGGTATATAAGGTCATGCAGGATTTTGTCCATCAACCGTAGGATGCCGTGTTTGGGGGTTCTAGCTTTCGGATCCATGCAAGAGCCTGGCGACTGCCAGCATCAAGGGTTCTATAAGGCATCTATAATAGGGTTCTATAATGTAGGGGCCTTCATAGTTAGAGTAGGGTTTGGGGGGTATACTCTACTACAGTTATAATAAGGAGCCGCCAAAATAGTATAGGTAATCATAGAGGCCTCTATATTACAAAAAAGCACCTGGAAGGTAAGCGCAGCGGTAAATCACTGCACCTTACACCCTCAAACTGGAGACAATGAACCTTGATCGCTGATGGCACAGGCCATCAGTAACTTATATCGTTGGAGTTAGAAGCATTATAACGTCATGATACCCCTACAAATTTCGTTTCCTGACCCTTCAAACAGACCCAAAACAACAACTGGAAACTCATTAAAACGCCCAGAGCAATCGTGAAAAGAAGCAAACAACTTTGCAACATACCTTGAAAACCATAGCCCTAAACCCTAAACCCTAAACCCTACCGCAAGGACGCAACAAGAAAACACTCAGTACCAGTCCAGGGTGGAAAATCCGCCGCCGATTCGAACAAGGAGCTTGCCTGAACAGTTTGTGTTTAACAGGCTTGCAATGAGGGTTTCAAAGCAGCTCGAAGGCTTTTGCCAGAAGTCTTAACAGGTTCAGGGTTCTGAGGAATAGTCTACTATGACCGTGTTAAGGGCTAAATGAGGGCATACTGGGCATACGAGCACTAGTTGCTGAGACCTCTTTGTTTGGTGCAAAAGAGGTTTAGAATTCAAGGATCGCAGGCTGTAGGCCTTTCCGGCTTCAGAGTCTGAGGATGTAGGGTGAAGGCAGACGGGATCCCCTATGGCTTTTGCATTTGGGCGGAACGTCACATGTTCGAAGAGC